TGAAGGGTCTAGGCCCGAAACGTCAGCCTTCCTGCTCCTCTGATGTTGCTTGGCGTGCTGTGTTCATCCAGCTCTACACCTTGTTATCTCAGCTGCTCAGTGATACCCAGTTTAGATTTTGTCAGGGCTATTCAGCTGCTGGCCTCATTACAGCCTTTGTTCACAAGACCTTAGTTCCAGAGGTGAGATGACAGTGACTGCCCTTGACATCAAGGCCACATTTGACCGAGTGTGGCATCACTGATCCGTAGTAAAACTGAGGTCCCCGGAAATCAGTAGAAACTCTTCTGGTTGGAGTCATACAAATCACTAAGGAAGTGGTTGTGGTTATTGAAGGTCAACTGTCAGGATGTTACTCTTGGACATCACTGCAAGAATTCCTCAAGATAGTCCCACCACCTTCTGCTGTCATTAATAACAATTACCCTGCCATAAGGTCTAATTTGGGATGTTTGCTCATGACTACACAATGTTTAGCCCTGTTTGCCTGTCTTCAGATACTGAAGCAATCCTTATCTAAATGCCTTTCGGGTATTGTGATTTGCTGTGCTTGCTTGGTCCTATGAGAAGAGCGGTGCCAAGATATTTAAGGTTTGAAATGATGTAGAGCCACACTTAGGTGTCTACACTTTAACAGCAATTTGCATGAGTAAATATTACAAGCTTGTTTTGTAACACCATCAGATAATTGGGCGGAAATTGACAGATCTCAGTCAAATGATATATCTAGATCACAGAGGAGGTGAAATGGGAAGATGTGCAGCATTACCCAGTCATCTTCCATCTTCTCTGGGCAGCACAGGGGCTCAGCGGTTAGCACTGCTGCCCCTCAGCGTCAGGGACACGGGTTCGATTCCACCCTCTGGCAACTGTCTGTGTGAAATTTTCACATTCTGCCCCTATCTGCGTGGGTTTCCTCTGGGTGCTATGGTTTCTTCCCACAGTCCAAAGATGTGTGACTTAAGTGGATTGGCCATGCTAAATTGCCTGTAGTGTTCAGGGATACGCAAGCTCGGCAGATTAGCCATGGGAAATGCGGGGTTACAGGTTAGGGTGGGGGGTGGGTCTGGAGTGGATGCTGTTTGGATGGTTGGTGTGGACACGATGGGCCGAATGGCCTGGCTTCCACGCTGTAGGGATTCTATGATTCTCCAGTGAAACCTCTGGCACAACAAATGAAGACCTTTAAAATAGCAAGAAAAACTCTTGAACTAAGGCTGTTGTCAATTTTGTGTCCCCTCCCACTGGAATCTCAGCCTGAGTTGGAAGCTCACAGTAACGCTACTCACAGCTGAGCATTAGCAAAGTCAGGACATGCAAAACTTATACTTATCAAAGTAGTGGAAAACAAAGAAGAAATTATTTCAGAACATCATTTTTTGTCTTGTCAGTATTAGACGCAAGTAAAAAGGGAAATTATGAAGCTTTAATAATAAAAGACTAAGTTGATGAAAAATAGGAGTTCACTCAAATAACTGAATAGAAAATGTTATTGTATGAGCTAGGGTATAAGTGTAATTTCCCTTTATGCGTTTCCATGGAAATTTTTATTATGGTCTGTTGTTTAAACAGTATTTCTACTTGATGGAATGTGGGGCCAACAATTTTCCAGGAATTTTTCATTGCAATGAATAACTTTCCATTATTTTTAAAAATTAAATGTCTCAAATGAGATTTAGATTTATGTATAATAAACATAATTAGAGATTTCAGTTTGTAGCTGTATTTCATGAATGTTCTGTTCTGACTGGTTACAAGTGAAACAAACCACAACTGTCAGTAGATGCTGACTCTTGTGGGATTCTGGATTAAATACGTCATTAATCCAAACTCTGAAACTTTCTGTGTGAGTTCTCCCTTCAAACGGTTTCTTTTTAATTCTCAGACAGCTGCAGTTTCATTTTGTTGGTGTCTTGGAATGAACGTATGTTGCTCTTTCCTACCTGTTGAAAGCAATAACACTGTATCCGTCAGTCGGAGTAAACTGAATGCTGTCAGGAATGTGTTTGTTTCAATGATTCGTTCATGTGAATGTAAAGCCATGTAATTGTAAACATCATGGTAAACATATTCTCCTACAATAGGTTCTGAGCATCTCCAAAATGATCATGGTGTAACCGTGGATTATAACACTACTGATCCTTTGATCCGATGGGATTCCTATGAGACTCTCACTGCTGACGGGGAAGGTAAGACAGGTACATTGGATTATCTAATGATTATGTTGAAAACTTGTTCTCGTTCATGCAAGGGTGTTATTAGAATGGATATAAAATATATTTTTTGGTTACAAAATACCACATACTCAAGCCAGTTATATTTGAATGTAGAATTAAGTTTCCTACATTTTGGTACTGTAATATCCCTCATTACTAGCCTCTAAGCAACTAATGCGGTTGAGGTAACAAGGTCTAGAGCTGGATGAGCAGCATCAGAGGAGCAGGAAAGCTGACATTTCGGGCCTAGACCCTCCTTCAGAAATGAGGTTGAGGGTTTTTTTTTAAAACAACATGAATAGGAATGAAATTGTCGCTTGAGTAGAGAGCACAGATCTCAAGTATTCCTGAAAACAGACATGGTGTGAACTTTGTCTCATACTTGTCAGGACAAATGCAAGAATATCACATTCAAAGGGCACACCAATTTATACTGCATGAGAGACAGGGTGCTAATTGGTTAACAAGCGGATTCCGGTCATGGCATTAGCATAGTGACTGCATCAAGGAAGGTTACCTCAAAGTTTTATGTAAATTGGGAAAAAGCAAATGGACTCTGATTGGTCAAGACGTGCCCTGCGGAATGCAGCATAAACCTTCATCCCCTGTAAACTGTAATTTAAAAGGTGCAATGCCTAGACTGGACCTTGAATATGAGAACTCTATCAAATGTATGTGAACCATACTATAAGCCCAGCTGACGATCTGAAATTCAAAACAGCAAATGTTAGCGAGACTCAGCAGGTCTGGCAGCATCTGTGGAGAGAGAAACAGAGTTAATGGTTTAAATCCAATGACTCCAGTTGGACGCAAACCATCAACTCAGTTTCTCTCACCACAGATGCTGCCAGACCTGCTGAGTCTCTCCAGCGCTTTGTGTTTTTTTTTTATTTCTGATCTCCAGCATCTGTAATATTTTGCTTTTACTTGATAACCTGAAGTAGTTTCGTGTGATTTTCCATATGCTTAGGATTGTTGAGTAATTATTACTCAATTGTGGAACCACATCTAATGTTGGACGCAACATTGGAGTTTTGCCAGCATGAGCTGGTTGAGTATGATCAGTCTTCTGTTTATTGTGACCAGTTAAAGGGAGGTGCTATTTATTCCAGTAACCCTTGGGATATCCAGCTAACTTATGAGGCAACAGGCTGGCACTGAAATTCATACACCACATTCCTCATTTGGAATGAGGCAGAACATCTCCTTTACTTAACGGCTGCTTCCCATTAGTGGAAACTACCGCTCATGTTATTGAGAACGAATTGTAGATTGAAACCAGAACAGGTCAGCCCTGATCTTATCAAAAGTTTGAGCAGATCCAAATTGCCAAAGGCTTGCTCACGGTTTGTATACTTGTAAGATAACTATCTCATCTTTATCAAACTAACAAAAAGGAGAATGTGGAGGGAGTCTTCACTGAACGACTGAGTTGCTCAGGATTTTCCATCTGCCATGCTGTCTATCTCAATGGTTCCTTGGCCCTCTCCCAATTACACAGTGGCACTGCTGGCTGGAGATTCATGCACACATGGTTGAAGTATGTGTGGAAGGAAACCTGCAAGCGACAATCTCATTCATATTCATATTCTGATGTAGGCAGCCTTTTAAAGGTGGGACGAGCAAACTTCATCATGTCAGCTGGTAATGTGACTGCCATCCCATCCCATTCCCATCTCTGACCAGTGAATGGTCAGTCATCTCGTGGAGAAATCTGTAATTAGAGCTGAATCACCAGCCTTTCTTGTTTCCTATCCACCCTTCCAATCCTCACTGAATTTTGGAAAATTGTGGAACCTTCTCACACAGGGTTTTGAATGCTGCAGTCAGGCTCAACTGACGCATTCAGAAGAGCATTTAAATTAAAGAAAAATGCAGGGTTTTGAGGAAAAGGCAAGAATTTGGCATCAGATCAAAATGCTGAAGAACTGGTGCAGACACTAAATGGCTTCCCTGTGCTCCATTCTGTGATTCTAGTCTGAGCTCCCACTCCTCTGTATTCTTCCCATGCAAGTGTGAAAAATCTTAAATTAAACACTTCAGTTTGTGTAAATATATTAAAAGCTCCTTCTCTGTTTGGGAACTGTTAAGGAATTGATATAACCAGTGTAGCATTTTAAATAAATGTTGATTAAGTTGTGGAAGTAAATTAACAACAAAGTTAATTCAATTATAGAAAATACTTGAATGTTCATTTGGTACTTCTAAATATAATTAAAAATCATCCTGTCATCTCAGTAGAAAAGAACTTTTTAAAGAGTAGTGTTTGTCTCTTGGACAGCTGTTGTACAGCAGTACCAATACTACTAACAAGGAAGCACTGTAAAACCGAAAGAACTGCGGATGCTGTAAATCAGGAACAAAAACAAAGTTGCTGGAAAAGCCCAGCAGGTCTGGCAGCATCCGTGAAGGAAAAAACAGAGTTAATGTTTCGGGTTTAGTGACCTTCCTCAGAACCTTCCTCTGAAGAAGGGTCACCGGACCCGAAACGTTGACTCGTTTTTTCCTTCACAGATGCTGCCAGACCTGCTGGGCTTTTTCAGCAACTTTGTTTTTGTTAGCACTGTGAAACAAATGATCAGAATTCAAATGAACCATAATGGGCAGGAAAGAAAAAACAAATGTGGAAAATAAATTAGAAGTAAACATAGAGCCTGAATTGTCCCCAGTTGACAGGAAACATGGTAAATGTGGAGGGGTATTTTCTCTGTAGTGTGTAATAACTAAACTATCCGTAACTGTCTGAAAGATTCGTTGCATACTACAAAGCTGTCTATTGAAACGCACTCTATTGCTCTTCTCCACAATCAATTCCTTGGTCCAGCTTCAAATGGGGGCAACCCATGCACTGTATTCCCTTGCAATTTATTTTCAACACTTGTCTTTTTTCCCATTTGACTTCATTTTAATCCTGAGCATCTTCACTTAAAGCTGCCATGGCCCAACCTGACCTAGTGTAATTTTCAGATTGTCAGCAGGCTCCCAATGTTTAATGATCTCCCTTGGTTGCACCCTTATGTGGGGATGTGTGCAAGTCCTGCCTCAGCAGGATCTGGCATCCCCCAGTTAAAATCGAGCATGCTGATGTTTTAGTGTTTTTTAAGCTTTCAAAACTTAGACTTTTCAACTGAAGTGTTGGAAGCTGAAATCTGACAAAGGAGAACCTTTTACTGCACTGATGAAAGTGAGCCCTTGAAGAGCATGATTTTGGTAAGTTAGAAAGAGGTAGCCTTGGCCACAGATGCCAAACCTCATAACCAATGCACTTTTTTTTAATGCAAGAAGAAGTTCAATGACTTCACAAGATAAATGAAATTTATAACTTTTGACCATTTGCAATGTCTGGTTTCTACCCACCTTGACTTCCATGATTTAAACACCATGTCATACTTCCCAGAAATATGTTTGAACAACCACACAAACATTGCATGCCCTGTGAATGTTCCTTCCTAACAGACTGTAATGAAGAGCTGTAGGATATGTTTATTTGCTCCACCTGTAAAGGAATGTTCTCTGGCACTGGGGCAACATTCCATTTAATGACACACAGAGTGTTCACACACTACTTTCCCCTTAAAGAAGGGCCCCATCATCAAAGGCAATGGAGTGCAGTTTTCTTCACAATGAAAATTCACCCTAAACGGCATCAACTGGCTGATGCCCAGACCGGGGAGGAACTGGGTGATAGCATTGCCAGGGAGCACCACTGTTGAAACCATTACACAAACCCAAAGATTAAAAGCAGTTAGGAGGAAATGGAACTGCTTTCCTCAGCACGCTTTAATCACAGGGGTATGAGTGGAATTGTTCAGAGTAAGGAAATACCTTCTGGGAAGGACAGTAGAATGATTTCTAATTGGTAGCTTTGTAAGATGCAACCAGCCTTTCAGGCAATTAGCTGGTATAATATTTTAGCTATTCTGCACTGTAGAGAAAATAGCAATAAACGCCATGCTGGAATTGCATCATAAAATCACCCAAGAGCAAAACTGCTATTAAACCCATTACATTTCAAATATTCCCCAGCTCCATTGAAAACTCATTGATCTGAAACATCAACTCTGATTCTGTCTTGATAGATGCTGCCTGACCTGCTGAATAGTTTCAGTGTTTTCTGATGGCAGCCCCCTCTCTGGTCACTGAGTGAGTCTGAATCCGACTGTTTGTAACTTTGGCATCCTGATTATTCCTGAGCTGAGCTGCTGACCCAGTCACCAACCTGGAACCCAAGTTGCCTATTTCCACCTCCGTAATATCAGCAGTCTCTGGCTCTCTCTTAACCACCTTCTGCTGAAGTTTTCAGTGCTGTCCTGGCCGGTTTAAACCAGCTTCCATAAGCCACCCTTCATCCAAACCTCTTCTGCTCATGTTTGAACTCTCACTATGTTCTGTTCCTCATTGCTGCTGACCTCCAATGGCCCCAGTCCAGCAATGCCTCAAACTTTGAAATTTCCTTCCAGGTTCAAGGCTCTATATGACTGTAAAGTGTATTCGAAGCCATTTTGAGCCTATAAACAACTGTGGCCAAAATCTGCCAGTCAAGGTCGGTGCTGAGCACATTGACTTGACGTGCGAAGGTTCCTCCCACCCGATCATTTCACAGTTTAACGGTTGTATCTCCGGACCTGGCTGAAGTTTCGAGGAAACACCGTCGGCACAAAAAGAGGCAGAAGAAGGAGAGGGCTTGCCCCTGTTTCACAGCCATAGCTGCTGGCTTCAGGCAAATTTTTAAAAGTTGAAGTCTTTCAGGAAGTGAATGAGCTCGTGAATGGTAGTTGAGTGGGCAGTCAGTTTTGGTCTTGTTCAATGGAGAAAGTTGGAGGTGAGTTGAACGGGGGTTGAGCAGAGCGGTATTTTTGTGTAGTGGTACAACCAAATCTAGTCAGATGGGGTGTCAGTCAGGGTGGGTGCTAGTCAGATCTTGTCTGGGGTGGAGGGTAGTAATGGGGCCTAGTTTTGGGGAGGTATTCAGGTCTAGGCAGGGTGTTAATCATAGAATCCCTACAGTGTGGAGCAGGCCATTCGGCCCATCAAGTCTCCGAAGTGCATCCTGCCCCGACCCACTCTGTACCGGATCCTAACCTGCATTTCCCACCCCAGATACTATGGACAATTTAACCATAGTATCTGGACAATTTAACATAGTCAATCCGCCTAACCTGCACACCTTAGTGATTGTGGGAGGAAACCGGAGCACCCGGAGGAAACCCACACAGATACGGGGAGAACGTGCAAATTCCACACAGACAGTCACCTGAGGGTGGAATTGAACCCGGGTCCATGGCGCTGTGAGGTAGCAGTGCTGACCACTGAGCCACCATGCCACCCCCTTACAAGTCCATGCCGACCTTCTGAAGAGTATCCCACCCAGACCCATTCCCCAACCTTTCCCTGTAACCCTGCATTTCTTACGGCTAACCCACCTAATCTACACATCCCTGAACACTACGGGGCAATTTAGCATGACCAATCCACCTAGCCTGCACATCTTTGTACTGTGGGAGGAAACCAGAGTACCCTGAGGAAACCCACGCAGACATGGGGAGAAGTGCAGACTCCACACAGACAGTGACCTGAGGATGGAATCGAACCCGGGTCCTTGATGCTGCGAGGCAGCAGTGCTAACCATTGATCAGGTCTGGTTGGGAGTAGTAATCAGGTCTAGTAGATGGTATCATATGATGTTAATCACTGCCAATATATGTTGGGTTGATTGTTGTCACCATCTTCATTTTCTGACTGGGTTTACAGGGCCTACCGTGTCTAAAGCGCGAGAAGGAAACTGTCAACCGGTCTAACAAGAAGGTACTTTTATCACATGTATGATGTAGTCTATTGCATTGCTACAAAGACTATGAGGTGACCTAGAAAGTACGTTTGCCTGACATCAGATTGCAAGGAGGTCAAGCTTTAGCATTCTCCCTTTCAGAACCTTTACGTGGTACAGTAGGGGAATGGTTGGATCCAGTTGGTTAGTTGGAACTAGTCGGGAAGCAGTAAAGGAAGGGGGTCTCGGGTCCAGATCGAGAGGGTTGGAATGGATTAGTTCGGTTCAGCCAGAAGGACATGGTCAGGTCTGGTTTAGGAGGGGTAGTTGGGTCGGAACGGGGGGAATAGGCGGGTCTGATTGGGTTGCTGGCAGTGGTTAGTTAGGTGTGGTTGAAGTGGGGTGGTTGGCTGTAGGTGGAGAGTGGTATTTGTTGGGTCTAGTTCACCACGAGAGCGGGTGTGGTTGTAGTTTGATGGTCAGCGGATAGTCAGGCCTAGCTGGGGGAGGTGGTCAGGTTTAGACCAGATAAAAACCAAAAGAACTGCAGATGCTGTAAATGAGAGACAAAATTAGAAATTGCTGGAAAAGCTCATTTGGTGTGGGAGCATCAGTGGAGAGAAATCAGAGTTAATGTTTCGGCTCAAGTGAAATGTTACTTCTGATTTCTCTCCACAAATGCTGCCAGACCTGCTGAGCTTTTGCAGCAATTTCTGTTTTTGTCTCCGGTCTAGTCCAGGGCTGATTGGATGATTGACGGAGATTATCAGTTGGTTAAGATATTAAACTGTGTATCATTTCTAAGGTAAATATGCTGGTAGGTCCTGTGCATGTGACAGAGACTTTTACAGAGATGCCAATTAAAAGAAAATAGCCTGGCAGAATTTGAAACTTACCAGGTAATTTCTATATGTTTGTGCATCAGAACTTCCACAGGGTACTGATGCATTCCTCCCAATTTATACCCCATCCCCTATGATCCAGAGACTGAATGATTCAGGCCATTAGATACCCTTCTGCTCTTTTAATTGGGACATTAGCCGAAGTATTTGAAACAATTTACCATCTTGAGAAAATAATGGAGAGTAAGAATTCAGTTGACCGCATTAAGCCTTTCTGTGCTGATAGCCCATGCATAATGTCAGGGTTATTATCTTTATTAATTACAACCTGCCTACTTGAAGTTCTGAGAATTCTGACTAAACAGCTGGACTCAGTTAACAAAATGAATGCCTTCAACACGGCCATCAAATTATATGTAGTATGATTTCAATCAGCGAGCGCTCATTCCATTGGTGCTTGCAGCTAGCTGGAACACACACACGAAGTCCCGCCCCCTTGTTTACATTTTCCATTGCCATATTTGGCCAGTGTGAAGTCTCATGCATATCTTGTAAGACCAGTCACCTTCAGTGGGAGGAAAACGCACAGTATAATGAAAAATAAGGGCCCCATTCCAATGCTGCTATTGCACGTAAGCCTGGAGTGCAGAGATTGCTCCTTAAGCTGCACTCTTTAAAGCAACTTTGAATACCTGCAGTAATGAAACACAGTGTGAGAGGTAAGATGTTTTTGGATTAATGTGGTAATGGATGTTGAAGTTTGTGTTCGGAGCTAGGGAAGACAAAGAATGAGACTAGCCAAAGATTTTTTTTTTTATAAACCACTTATGAAAAAGGAATGTGGTGCTGAACAAGCCCAGAGTTGCCTCAGTGTACAGTATTTCTACAAAGCATTTGGCTTAGCTGCTTTCTTTACACAACCTATTCGGATCAGTTATTTATTCATACTGTGAGTTTTGTGCTGATTGCGAGTAGGGACAGCATATGGTTGAGGCCCAGATGTGTTTACCTAGCTGGAATCACTATGCCCCTATTTTGACTTGTGTTGAATGAGTGGCAGCAGAAGAGCTGGCTGTAGAACATGTTTTCAGCTTAAAATGCCTTTATCTAGTTTACTTCTATATGGGTTTTGTGGCAAGACACCCCAGACAGTAAAGCATGAAAGCAGATAAGAGCATTGTATAAAAGGAAGAGAACTGATTTTTATTTTTATGTTTAGTAATTCATTTCAGTCTAATAGTTTCACAACATTGAGATCAATTTCTCTGCTTCGACGCAACAGACATGTTCTGATATTATTCAAAACATGGAGACCTCTGAAACTTGGTTAATTTGTAATTAAGGAATTCCATTGGACAGGCCAATTGTGAAAGATGCATTTTTGAGAAAGAATTAACCATTTTTTAACCTATCTCTTTATTTGTCTTTAATAATTTTCCATGCCATAGATGCTACTAAATGTGACCTGTGAGCATAAAAAAACCATAACATTCTTTTTAAATCCCCGTTTAATTCTTTGTCCAGTGGAATGAAGTTCTTTTGGAGGTGAGGAAAGCAGTGGGATGAAATGAGAGCAATTTAAGAATGTTGTTTCAGTAAGGAACTTTGTACAACTGCATTACAGAAAATGTGTCAGATTCTCAATGTAAAAAAACCACATTTCCACGGAATTGTGTTAATTGTTGTGCTTGCAGAAGTGGGAGAAAATGACTTTTATGTGTATAATTAATAGTATTTTTAAGTGAAAAATAAATTGATAATCCTTGCAGTGTTTTAAACTGCAGGATAATGCCATCTAGGGGACAGGTAGCAGGCGTTGTTTATGATACTTACTATTCACAAAGATCAAGTTCCTAAAATCATAGTTAGGTCACAGTACTTTTCTTAGAGGAATAAGAAATGATGTCTTCAAGGGGGAAAAAACAGCTTCTGAGTTAATGCATTTCTTTGTTCTTGTGGTTTATAGCAAACCTATTCTTCATTTGGACTTTTTAAAAATTTCAATTTTCTCCCATGTCCTTAATACATGTGTAGTTTGGCAACACTTCACTACTTGAATTAAATGATTATTCTTCTATGAGCTTGGACAGTAAATGTCAGTAGGTTCTTGGGGTGTGCGGGATATCACAGTCGAGTCTTATCATCAGTTAGTATCTAATGCACAGCAGGAACCAGACCTTGCAGCCTTCTGATTTATATACTTGTTTGCTGAGCATCATTTTTACTCAATAAGTCTGCACTGTTGTTGTTTAAGTCACCAAATACAGGAGACATCCACTCAACCTATTACATTTGAGATTCGCAATTGAAAATTATCTTGAGTTTAAGAATGAAACCATAATCGTTGAGAAAACTCAAATCCTTGCAACAGCGCTCTTTTTGTGCTTTATAATAAGTTACATGTATTTGCATGCAGAGAAGTGAATTATATAGCAAGCAGGTGCAGTGCATAAATATTGCAGATTTTGTAGCGTTGTAATGGACTCCCTACTACAGGTAAGTAAATAGAAAATAAGATTTCATCTGGCTAGTTATAAATATTAACATCCCCAATTATATCAGGAAATACTGTACATTTTTTTATGCAATGTCATTAAGCAACAATAATAATGCCCTCCAGTGGATGTGTGTACCGTCATTTTAACTGTTGTAGTTCCTTTGCCTTGGTGCCTTGAGGGGAAGAAAAGGTCAGTTTGCTTGTCATTTTGATTGTATCTTCTGTAGAAGATTCAGAGAGGATTTGCTAGCGGTAAAATATGATAGCTATCTATAATCACAAGGTTGGCTGGATAACTTATGCACCAGGAAGTCCCAAATAAATTCTGGTGAGTTGCACAAGTGGAGATATCTGTTGCAGCTTGTTGCCTACTAGGACTGTTCTAGGAACATTTATACAAGATGAATCCAATCTTTTCTGCTTCTGCCATTCAAAAAGCCCTGAATAGAAAATATTCCATGATAAACATGAGTTTCTAATTATGTTTTGTTAAGGAGTGTGAACTTTAAATGCACAAATCATTCCCAGTAAAAATATTTTTAATGTGAAATGAACTGAAAGTTATAGCTGGATGAGTAATGCTCCGAGCTTGTGTATTTAGTCTAAAAAAAAATAAGTCTTCTACGTATGAGACTTCCTTTTACATAGTGGCTCTGTTGAGTATGTGGAGTCAGTTAATGAGCATTAGTGATAGATTTAAAATCAGCCTGGAAACTTTAAAACAAACTACCTTTGATAACACAATCTTAGTACACCATTAAGAGCAAGAATTCTAGGCTGTATCTTGACAAGTCGTGATAATTGTTGGGTTAATGCGATTAGATTTGGTTAATAATTCTCCTCTTCTTTCTTACCCTAGTGTCACACACCCAAGGGCCAATTGATGGAAGTCTGTATGCCAAGGTACGAAAGAAAAGCTCCTCTGAGGGGAATATCCCTCTTGGCGGTGCTCACGCAACTACAGGACCTGACCAAATTGACCATACTCTGTCAGTCAGCAGTGACTCTGGGAACTCTACAGCCTCCATAAGAACAGACCGGACAGAGGAGCACTTGCCACCAGGTGTTAAGCGAGGCCTGAGCCTGCAAGAGAAGGCTGAGTTGGACAGGCTTTTAAGTGGATTTGGGCTGGAGAATTCTGTACAGTTGAAGGATATGACAGACACAAGAGTGAAGTACAGTGGAGTACGTCATATTGTACCAGTTCAGGTTCATGTGAATGGTGAACTGAAAGCCAAGGACAGGGAGACTGATATTTTAGATGATGAAATGCCAAATCATGATCTGCACAGTGTGGACAGCATAGGGACTCTTTCCTCTTCAGAAGGTCAACCGTCAAACAATCTGGGAAACTTCAGTTTTCACAAGAGCAGTCAGAACTCTTTACTATCGGATGGTTTTGGAAGCAACACTGGAGACGATCTGCACAATGCTGTTGTGCCTGACCTTGGAATAGGCACAGAAACAGTGTATGACAGAACATTTATTGGAGTTACTGAGGGGAAAAATGCCTTTCAACGACCAAGAAACCCTTCATTGTCAACACAACCACAGGGTTATAACCAGAGCAATTATTCAACTCAAACCTGGGTGCGACAACAGCAAATGGTTGCTGCCCAACAGTATGTCTATCCAGCAGAAAATGACTTGAGGTTCGCAATGGTGGGGACTGGTGAAGATCAGAGCCGAACACAAACAACATTCAAACTTCCCGATACACCTGCAAGAGGTTCTAGTAGCAGAGATGCTGTGCAGAGAGGGCTTAGTACATTATCAGGAGATAGTAAGTTACAAGATCATAAGACCTCTGAAGCCTTGTTTGAACGTGAAAATCAAGGTCTCAAACCTTCTGAAGTTAATCAGACTGCTGAAGGAGCAGAATTGGGATCAAAAAAGCAAGATTTGTCTACTTCACCAACTTTGGATATTGATCAGTCAATTGAACAGCTCAATAAACTGATAATGGATCTGGATCCTACGTTTGTCCCAATTCCTACTCGTGTCAATTCTACAAATAAAGGTGCTGTTCTCAGCAAGGACATCATCCGACCAGGAGAGGCCCAAGAACAAACCGAAAGGGTTTCTAGAAGTGGCTGCCAACAAGGTAAATTAACTGGATAATTATCTTATAAGATACCTGACTGCAGCAAGGCCATTGCTGAATATCTAACTGCCCTCTAGTATGCATGTCATGAGTAAAAATTGTTAGCTCACTGTGATATTTCAAGCTTGTTAATGAAAGTTTCCTGTTTGGCATCATGACAAAAATCATAAACACAGACTGATATATTGAACAGAACATAGCTCAGAAATCCATTTACGGTATTACTGCACATAATGTAAATTTCCACAATTTATTGTCCCAGCATGGAGGCTTCACCACTGAAAGGAGAATTTTGGAAACTCAGATATATACATCTCTGCCATTGAGATAATTTCTGTAGAGCCTGGAGGATCACTGAATCCTTTTGGGCCTCATCCCATTCACTTCCCATAATTTTCTCGAACTTCCATACTTTTCTTGTAGAATTACTTGACTTGTGTGTGGGAATTCCACAAGAGTCAGTCAACAGCCTGCTTAACCATGAATGGCATCACAGCTGAACCTGGCACTGTCAAAAAAAAAAGGTCTGTGTAAATATTCAATTGGAGCCTTAACTGTCCTGTTTTCCTCACTCCTAGCCCAGGGTCAGGCTGTGGTGGTTGTTTCTTTGAATGCTCAGTCCTATTTGTGACACACAGTTCATGTCAATGTTAAAACCCTTCAAAACAATATTAAACAAGAAGTTGAAACGCATTTGGGAATCATTTGGAGTACAATTTAACCCATTAGTATATAGAAGTTTCATTTTTAGGTTAGTTGCCAATAAGCTATTCACTGTCGCACTAAGCTCTAGGTTTGCCTCCTAACCTCATCCAGTAATTGAGTTCAGGCAGGTGGTTGTGAATATATTAGTTAATCTCCTTTTGTCCACCTTTCTTGTTTATGAGTTTGTGCATTTAGTCATTAACCGAAAAAACTAACTAGGATCTTTGGTATGCATTTGGGGAAGCTAGCATTGAGCTCATCTGTAATGCAACATATTCACCGACAGCAGTCATGACCTGCATTCACGCATGAAGAAAACCTACCTGGGTGAGGTAGTAGTGGCAGTGTGTGGAGCAACGTACAACTTAATGTCCTCAAGAGAAATGGAGTGAAAGTTAGGAGAATTGTTCATTGTTTTCCAAATTATAAAACTACTACATCTTTAGATGTGTAAATAATACTGTTACATGATAATGGCACAAAATCTTTTCACTCTTCAAAGATGTCTGAAAAATACAATTTTCACGTACTGTCAAAAGTATTACCTGGGGTAATTATAACTGAGGCAGAATACCTCATTTATTGTAGGTATCTTCAGTCTTCATATGAAGAACAGCTTATATGTCAGTTTATATAAAGTCGTATTTGTCTTCCAGAAGCTAAATAGTGCCCATAAATTGGGATAATTGTCATCAAAATAGTGTCTTCACTGTAAATGTTGGTTAATTTAGGACTGGATTGAACTTAGACTTGACAAAATTTGCTCAATGCTTGTTTTCGCTAGAGCATCGGCGGCTGATAGAAGAATATAAAGTTTTGAGAGATGTGGCTAGGATGGATAGTTGGAGTCTGTTTCCCAAGATGGAAAAGTCAAATACTCTGGGGCATAGGTAGGAGGTGTGCGAAGAATGTTTTTTTTTCACGTAGAGGGTGGTAGCTGCCTGGGTACGGACATGTGCATGTAGATGGGACTAGTTTAGAACAGCATCACAATCGGCACAGACATCATGAGCCGAAGGGCCCATTCCTGTGCTGTGCTGTTCTATGTTCTTATAGATGCCGTCTGTTTGATTTAATATATCAAGATTTACAAACTGTGCAGGGAGAAACATGCAGAAATGTTTACAAATTTTGCTGGGCACAATATATTACGACATTGAAATAGCACCATTGAAGTTAATGATTTAATGCAACACTCCTTCCTTTGTCTGGCTGACATAGTAGCCTTTCCTTGAAACCTCAACTGGGTGCCACCTGTATTGTTCAAAGCTTGGCTGACATGGTGGGTTTTGCTGCTTCTGTTTCTCTTTTCCAAAGGTAACATGTTATCCCTCTGATGGGGTTCATCCAGTGAAAAGGTCAGGCAATGAGGATTAATGAGTTTACATAGTCTAACAGTCTGGAGTTCAACTTGGTGTCCTGGGTTAGGAGGGAATGAAAAATGTTCAGCATTTAGATGTTTAGAGGCTTATTGTTCCTGCATTTCATTGCGGTCTCATGCTGTTGTTAGAAGTGATTGATTGTAAAGATTCTGGTTTGAACATGAGAAGAGTCATTGATAAATATTGTTTGGTATTTATGGTTGTGAAAGAGGAAGCAAAATGCTGATGCACATTACATGCTATTGCTTATTCATATTGCCAGTTTAAAACCGCAAATGGAGTTACACCAGGATGAAGTGGTTTAGCTCTTGACTTAAATTATTCACTCTATGATAGTGCCACATCTTCGATTACTAGTTGTGATATTGTGTTTGCAACTGGTCGGCAGTTCTGGTAGTTTAATGATATAGTCCCACAACATAATTGTCACATATGAATATGGACTGATATGTGTAACTGACAAAACTTCTGAAACTTTGGAGTGACGGATTCAGTGGTTTGTGTCTTCTGCAACACTAATGATTTGCAAATCACTTACATAAAAAAAAAGTCAATACACAACATGTCTATATAGTTTCAGAAAAGCACTTTTGGGATGTGGTATTTGCTGGAGAGGCTGATGTTTATTAGCCATCCTTATTTTCCTTGAAAAGATGGTTGTGGGCTGCTTCTTAAACCACAGATGTTGAAAGCAGTCCCATGTTGTATGCTGTTGGGTAAGAAGTTCCAGAATTTTGTCACACCAAAGATAGGGTAAATTAAGGTAGGATAACTTGGATATTTGTTTGAATTTTATGTGAAGCTTGCAAATGATGAAAAAGAGACCAGTAGGATTTTAAATTATCATGAATTGGACAGAACCTGTAGCCTAGCAAATATGATATTCAAGAGTGAGTGTGGAATTTTCCATTTTTAAGTTAAAATGTAGCATTAGATGTGTTGAATGGCATCATAACTTGCTGCAGGCATTGGCGGCTATCTTGTGTGCTTCTTAGCTTACTACCTATGCAAGTGTGATGTTGCATGTGTTATTCATGAATTCCTGGTGAGTAAGCTGAAAACTCTTGTCATGAGTCAGATCTTCCAGGTTTGGGACTGTTTTCAGGGTCGAAAGGTTCTGGTGCCATGTTTAATGGCCACTTGCATAGCACTTGACTCACTGCAAGTTAGAAACCTCATAGGCCCCTATGGTGATCACCCCTCGAGGTTCAGAAATGGCAGCCTATAAGTGTAAGATAGCGCTAAGCTTTACTGATGGTGCCCTCCAGACAATGCTTAACAGGGTGATTGAAAGAAGGTCTGTTCTCTTCCCCGGTGACTGCGTCAGACAGCCATGATATCAGACTCGTCGAGCTTGATTAGAGACCACAGTGAGGGTCAGTGCCACACAAGACAAGGGCAACAATATACATAAAAATTCAATGATCTCCTCAGCTCCATGAGGGGGGGTAGCAGATCAGAGATAGTGCTATCTCTGTCTCACTGGAATATCGCTCAATTTTAACTCTGCCACCGAACATGCATCTCCCAAAGGGTCAAAGTCTACAGACCTCAGCATCAGATGCATAATGTCCATTCGATGCCTTGAGCCCACATTATGCTGTCAGGATATTAACCCTTGCTAGGCACTGCCCTTCATCCTTACTGACTGGGGATACTTCAGTACCTGGTCTGGTTATGTATGCTCACAAACTGCAAGTACACCCATCCCATCACAGTCAGTCCTTTTCTTTGTCGCGATGTAGGAAAGATTAGCAATGGCTGAGGTAGCCCTAGTTGTTTTTCTCACTGGCTCTCAGTCACTTGCAGATACCTGTACCTATATCATGTAGATACTGTTCTGTGCCAGAGCTGTCCTCTTCTGTGGTAGGTCTTGCCTTGGTGCTTCTCTCCCAAGAGGCTGTGTGGCAACCAGTAGCAACTGTTATTTTTGCAAATGCAGTTGTCTGTGTTCTGTACTGGGATGGTTTCTTTGTATTCATAAATTGCAAGAAGAACAATTGTGATTGCCCTCTGCAATTCTTCTTTAATTTCGTATAAATTTTTGAGATCTTTGAACACAGCCTTAGCAAGGGACAGTTCACCACTGACATCCTTTGCAATGAATCTACAGGTGGCAGTGCCAGACCTGGGCAAGGCCCCAGCAGCATGCACTGCATTGCTGTATGTATCGGAGAGCACAGCTCCTTGCCACCAACCTCTCAGGAACTAGCAAGCATTTATTATCACAGGATTTTCTTCAAGTCTGACAAACACCTTCCAATGCTCAGTAGAAATTCTGGCCTCCTGTAAAGTGGCCCAAAAGAAAGGCGATGATATGGCTTTTGAATGAGGTAGTTCCCAGGAGGGCCCAGGTCACCCAAACCTCACTGAGGGAATCCTGTGAGAATGGCTTTATCTTGTGTGTGAGGATATGGCCGCTGGACTATGGAGGCTTGCAGTCCTGGAAATTGTGTTTTGGCCATTGGTGGGAAAGATGAGCTATTGAGTGAATGTACCCTCCTCCATTAACACTTCTTAACCTCAGAGATCATAAGCTGCCAGTAAGGACACAATGTGCTCTCAATTATCCGTTCTGAGAGTAAATAAGCAATCAGCAGTATGTGGAATTTTCTTTTAATGAATCTGAAAGTGTTAGGAGGTATGAAACTTGAACTCTGACTTTTTGGCCCAGAGGTAGGAACATACCACTGTGCCATAGGACACTTTAATATATAATAAACAAAGTAAGCGAAGCAACTTTTGGTCCTACTTGGAAGCTAAGCATTGAAAAGGTTTCTGCAAATTTTGAAGTGAGCACTTTTCATATGTGAAACAAAAGTGATAACCACTGCACTGCAGCAACTCTGCAGTTGCTAGATTCAAATCTGCTTGGAGAGACCCCAGTATGTTTCAAATTCATCATTTGACTTT